TGTGTGTGTGTGTGTGTGTGTGTGTGTGTGTGTGTGTGTCCCCGTCCGTCCATCTAGACAGGGTCTCTCGTAGACTAGGCTGAGGATAAGCTTGAACTCCTGATCCTCTACCTCCCATGTGCTGAGAATACAAGTTTATACCACCAAACCTGTTTTTTGTGTGGTCCTGTGGATTAAACCCAAGGCTTCCTGAATGCTAAGCACCCATTGGACCACTGAGTCACATCTCTTGCCCCAGCAATCCTATTTCTTGATTTGAGAAATACATATGCCTGCTTTTTACTAATTATGAAGCTGATGCCTATGTGTAAAGCATTTATTGTATAGATGTTATCCTTTATAATTTTCAAAAGTTTAAAGCATTAACTCCAGTAGGTCACTTGGAGGCAATCATTGAGAGCAGCAAGGGCACAGGGTGTGATATTAGATGGCACATTGTTTGAAATTTCAGTTCTACTGTGAGCTGTGTGACTGTTTTGTGAGTGTGTGGTGCTGGGGAGTTGAACTTGGGGCCTTGAGTGTGCTAGATAGGCATTCTGTTGCTAAGCCGATGGCTGAACTGTGTATCTTTATTTTTTCTAAATTGTGTTTATCTGTTTATTCAGTAGGAGGTAGGCTATGTGTGCATGGCATATGCACAGAGATCAGGGGACAGCTTGCAGGAGTCGGTTTTCTCTTTCTACCATGTGGATTCCAGGGATCAAACTCAGGTCATCAGGCTGGTCAGCAAGTGCCTTTACCTTCTGAGCTATCTTGCCAGCCAGAACTATTTGTCTTTTGGTAATCTGTTTTACTATTTATGTCTTAGTATTTGCTATATATACAAATTATGGAGGACACCAATATGATCAGAATGAAATATGAACATTGCCTTTGTGAAGTTTCAATTTGATAAGGAAGCAGTAATTGTACCAAGTTAAAAATTGGAATTGTGGTGAGTGCTATAAAAAGTATAGGTCATATCAACAAGACCTCATCACAGATGATTTGATCTATTCAGGTAGATCAAAAAGGCTGCTTGGGACTGGAGAGATTGCTCAGCAGTTAAGAGCACTGAATGTTCTTCCAGAGAACCCACGTTTGATTCCCAGCACCCACATAGCAGCTCACAACTGTCTGTAACTCCAGTCCTGGGAGTTACATTCTATTAGAGTGTAATAGAGTCCAACACTAGCCTACATGGGCACCAGGCATGCATCTGATGCACAAACATACATGTAGGCAAAATATCCATACAAATACATTTAAAATAAAATAATATTTTTAAAAAGATGTAGATTTCTCATGGCTGAGGACATGGCTCAGTGGTAGAGCACTTGCCTGGTATGTGCCAGACTCTGAATTCAATCTCTGCCATCACAAGAGAAGGAGGAGAAAGAGGAGAAGGGGGAGGGGACAAAAAAAGCCTGTCTAAGACATGACCACCAAACTGAGATCTAAGCAATCATTAAATGGTAGCCAGGTTAAGAGGACCACAAGGAACGTCTAAGGCAAGAGAAAACACACAGCATGCATTGGAAGGATACTGCATTTAGTACTGGCACTAGCATCTGCTGTCATAGCAGGCCTGCCCCTCCCAAGGTTCCTTGGCCAAACCAAGGCACAGAGAGACTCCTCAGTAAGGATATCTGTCACCAAGCCTGATGACTGAGTTCAGTCCCCAGGATCCACACGGTGGAAGAAGAGAACTCACTCTCC